ATATTATAGATAGTAGATAGATAGATAGATGATAGATAGATAGATAGATAGATAGATAGATAGATAGATAGATATCACAAGGAAAAAGATGCATTTGCTCCATGGCTAGGCCACCAGTTCCTCGAGTAGATGTACCATATGTTATCTGACTCAGCTCACACTGCAAGACCTGTAATAAAGCAGGCCTTTTATGACACATCTATCTATATAAAAGCCTAAGTGACCATCACAACCGAACGGACGACCGAAAAGGCTGCGTGGGGCAACCAGGCCAGCAGGGGTGTGAGGGGCAACCAAACGACCGAGCAGCAGGCTGTGTGGGGTGACCAGGCTGGCAGGGGGGTTAGTGAGGGGCGACCAAATAACCAAACAGCAAGCTGCATTGGGAAACCAGGCCAGCAGGGGGGGGCAGTTGGGGGCGATCAGGCCAGCAGGGGAGGGCAGTTGGGGGCAATCAGGCTGGCAGGGGAGGGGGTGACCAGGCCGGCAGGGGGGGCAGTGAGGGGTGATCAGACAGGCAGGCAGGCGAGCCGTTAGGAGCCAGCAGTCCAGGATTGTGAGAGGGATGTCCAACGGCAGGTTTAGCCCCAATCCCAGGGATCAAGCCTAAACCAGCAGTCATACATCCCCCAAGGGGTCCCGGATTGGAGAGGGTGCAGGCTGGGCTGAGGGGACACCCCCCCATGCATGAATTTCGTGCACCAGGCCTCTAGTAGATAATAATTGTTGAAGTGATGTGATTTAATTTGGAATTAACTCTACCACCATTCTATAAGAAAGGACTAAAAATTCTTCTCACCATATGCTGAAAAAGTACATTTTTATACTTAAACATTCTTCTCCCTTTCCTTTTCCAGTTACATGAACTATGCACATGCCTTCTTCAAGGTAATTTCTTAGGACAGTGTTAGCCTAAGAACCTTTGTCTAGGTTGTTTTAGAAATGCAGGAAGCCAGGGACACCCTATAAGCAGCTGGCTTCCAGGTCAACAGTTCTCTGACCCTAAAATCAGGCTCCCCTCACCATGAGTTTGTGCAGGGAGGACCAGGCATTCTAAACAATTTATCTGCTAATTCAATGTCTTAACCTATCTCAAAGATGGAGATCAATGTGAGTCTAATCCATGTTTAAATGGCGGCCTATGCAAGGATGACATTAATTCCTACGAATGTTGGTGTCAAATTGGATTTGAAGGAAAAAACTGTGAACTAGGTAAGTAACTAGTTTTGGATTACTCATGGTTCAAAATTCACTTTGAAACTGGAAAATGCAATATTTATGTAGCATAATTTTCCCTTAAAAACATATACATTTTTATTGTGGTAAAGAATACAACATAAGATCTACACTTTTAACAAATTTTGAAGTGTATAACACAGTATTATTAACTACAGGCAAGATGTTGTACAGATGTCGAGAACTTATTCATCTTGTATAACAGAAACTATACCCATTGAAGAGCAACTCCCCATTTTTCCTTCCCCATTCTTGGCTTCCATGTTTTTGACTTTTTAAACAACCTTATATAATCATGCAGTATTTGTCCTGTGACTTACTTATTTCATTTAGCACAATGTCCTCCAGTTTCATCCATGTTGTTGCATATGAAAGTATTTCCTTTTTTTAAAGGCTGAATAATATTCCATTGTATAAAACATACTTTTAAGGCTTATAAACATTCATTTTATCTATAGTCATAGTTTCCAGGATGAGGTCAAGAAACTATATTAAGAGTAATAATATTTGGTGGATAATAAGTAATGATGTTCCACTCACTTATTAATCCTCAATACAACCATATTTAGTCAGTATCATTACTAGTATCCCCATTCCATGATGATCAGAACACTCTAGCTTAAAATCACAGAGGCAAGTAAATGGTCAAGCCAAGATATGAACTTCAGTTTGTTTGACCTAAACCCATGCTTCCAACTAATGTCCACAAAATGCAAAGAAAACTAAACCCATCAACTGAACTCATGACTGAATTGTTATCAACATAGGCAGTTTAAGTCAAACAACTACAGATTTGAGGTATTGCAAAGTCAATTCTCTCATATAATAGCCACTTTTTCACACATACCAACTACTATATATGTTAAAAATCTAAGCTCATACATTGATAACACTGAGTTACATAATAAATTTAGGTTCAGTATTTATCTTTTCCTCTCATAGCCTAGAATATTTTTTCTGAGATTTTGGCAATTACAGTTATAAATCCCTGAAGTCCTTTAACTACTTGTTTATTTCCTCTGAATGCAAGGTATTGTGATTGTGAAAAACACACAGTGCTAATGACAGATTTTCTTTCTACTCCGAAACTCCAGAAGAATAGAGATGTGATCCTAGGGAGAGAATTTAACATCACGGGTTATATCACTAAAGAGTAGAAAATTAGCAGGACTCTATTAAGGTGTTATAGCAATCCACCTGATACATAGATGAGAAAGGCATACAACAAAATGAAACGCAAGTTGCTGCCTGTGTCCTATTGAGAAAGGGGGAAAAGTCACCTATAATGTTCAGAAATCCTTTCAGTATTAAAGAGAAATCCATTGATCATCTTCCTTTGAAGTAAAAAAGATAAAAAGGAATAGAAGATAAGAAAATGAAAAGGTGGCAGGGACAAAACATTTTAAAAGACAGAAAAGAGTGAATGCAGGTGGATGAGCTGGTACACATGGCCTGGATTCCCATTCCCTCAGGTCTCCTAGTAAGAGGACAAACCTGGGTTACCTTCCCTGTGGTTGTGTTAATTGGTTCAACATCTCTGAGGTTCCACTTTCATTTCAAAGGTTATCATTTCAAATTCACATTTACCTAGATAAATTTGATCCTATTATGGAAATCTACATAAATCTTTGAAGTAGTTACTCATTTTCAGCTTAAATACTATAACTATTGACGATAAGGGAATGAATAACTCAATTAGATTCAGTTAAGAATGAAGAATACATTGTAGTGAAGTATAATTGAAAATAGTATCCCTAAATGTCTTTAGTTTAAAAATAAAGACACTGTAAAGGAATAGAATAGCCCTGAGAATGTAAATATGAGCACAAAAATTCCCTAAAAGGTTTTGCTATATGTGTGAGGCTATGGACCACATAACAAAAGAACTAAGTCTACAACTTGACCTATTTCAGTCCTCTCAGGTTCCCCATATTTTGGATTGGTTGAATTGCTTCCACCACCAAATCTGGCCTCTGGGTTATATTGATATCTCCCAGCCCATTTTATTTATCGGGATTTAGAAAAATCCTTCCAGCTCAGTTAGTTCAGAAACAAAGTGGGAATTCTCTCAAAAATATTTTTATTTTGGACACTAGAGGACAGGAAAAGAGAAAACATACAAACTCCCATTTAAGGCATTACTTCAAACTGAACTAAAGAATCATCTAGACCAGCGGTTCTCAACCTGTGGGTCACGACCCCTTTGGCGGTCAAACGACCCTTTCACAGGGGTCGCCTAAGACCATCCTGCATATCAGATATTTACATTACGATTCATAACAGTAGCAACATTACAGTTATGAAGTAGCAACGAAAATAATTTTATGGTTGGGTCACAACATGAGGAACTGTATTTAAAGGGCCAGAAGGTTGAGAACCACTGATCTAGACTAATCTCAAAAGCTCCTAGATAGCACAGTTTATGGGATACCTGGGCCCCAAGTTTCTTGCCTCATCTTGGCTTGTAAAGAGAAGAGAGATTTCCATTGTTGAGACCTTGTTGTTTTCCTTTTCTCTTGTCTATGAGGCTCTTCTCCAGGGGAGAGATGTACAAATATTCAGGACATGCTTTCTAGTTAGAAGAATAACAATTGATTGGCTATTTTGTCCCTTTGGCTAGAATAAATATCACTGTATGTCCCCAGCTACACATCACATCTGAGTCCTTTACAGATAGATCAAGGTCTGTAAAAACTTTGTCATTCCAGTTCCTTCTAAGAATACAAGAGGCATTTTCCTATAGTAATATAGGATGGAAAGAAAGAAAGAAAGGAAGGAAGAAAGACACAAGCACATAAACGCTTTTTTTTTTTTCATTTCGCTAACACATCACAAACACTACAGACTGATTTGCTATGAATTTCTGTGGAGTGAAGAAAATACCTTTAGTTTTAGCTGAACAATAGCATGTTCTGTGATAAACTAGTTAAACAGAACATCTTTTGTCCAAGCTTTGTTTTTCACATCAGTGAATATATCAGGGTAAAAGACAGAACAAAATAAAACAGAATGGTAACATTTGTGGTAGACATGAGGGAACAAGAAAGAAGAGTTTGTACCAACATGGATGGAGAATAACACATGTTTTAGGCACTGAGACCAGTCTCAGAACCAGTGAGACCTATATCCAGCACAGTGTCTGACATCTAAGTGCTCAATAAATGATTGATGAATGTGTCCTATAGTAACTGTCCCTTAGATCCTGGACTATGGACCTTTCCACTGGATATACTTGTGCTATTAAGCTCTTCCCAGAATTTTGAGTCCTTTATCTGAGGGCAAAAGACTTCTGATTGGGCAGCAATATTTCCCACTGAATGTACAAACCAAGCTAGAGAGCAGCAACAACATACTGGGTCACAAAGAGCAAGGACAAATGTGGCAAATCATGGACGGGTTTAGTTACTTAGTCAAGGGCACAGAATCAGAATTGGGAAACCCACACTGACTTTACTCATTCCTGTTATGCATGCCCTGCACCAAACCAGGCTGGACCTACCACCTACCTCTATTAACTTATCACAATCTCATATTGACTGAACACTTTATACAGGTGGTATTTGATTTGGCTGAACACTTCAGTACTGTTTGTAGCAACAAAAATGATAGCTAGTCCCATGTATTCACTATGAGTGAAGAGAAAGGTCTTTAAAAAATAAATAAAAAGGACCAAGTGACATGTCTCTGGACCATGCACTTAATGGATTATTGGTAGCAAAGGTTAAAGCTCAGGCTGTTTTCTCTGTCTACCTGGCAACAGTTGATTGATGATTGGCCTCCTTTTATTTCCTGAAGTGTCAGTAAGGAACATGAGTTAATTGTTATCTTAGCCTATGCTAGCCTATGTAAAATATAATTCAAAAATTTAGACATATCACTCAAAACTCCATAATATACTCCATAACCATATAGTCACTCTGTTAGCCTAGATTCCCCCCCCCCCCGAGAAAATGGAGTCTGTGACACAAGCTTATTAGGGTGTGCAATCCTAGGGAGCAAGAGCAAGAGACAAGGGAGTGAGGCAATGAGGAAAGAAGAACCAATAATAAGATGAGTCTTCTCTTCATCTGCAACTGATTGCTTGATCTCCTGAGACTGTTTTCCAAGAAGCCATATGAACTGGCTTCAGGATAGTCCATCTAGGAGGGCGAAATAAGTGAAAAAAATTGTCCAGAAGCATCTGTCTCCCATTGGTCAAAAGTTCAGCATATGAGGTAAATACATCTCTAGGTTATAAGTGCTGGGTAACCCAGAAAGGTCATGTGGCATCCCTTGGCTCAGCATCAATGGGGAAGTGCCAAGGTAGGAGATGAGAGGCATGCAGTGCAGATATGAGCCAAGGCCATTCAACATGAGGTCAGTGGAAGTCTATGCAGAACTGATCACCAACATGCTGGAAGAAGACACAGGTGAAGCTGAGAGGAACTTAGGTGGTGCATAGGGGGTGTCTAATACAGTCACTCATTTTCAACCTTTCCATGTCCTAACTGCACGGACAAGTAAATATTTCAATAGAAAGTTGAAATATTTATACTAATTATGAGTATGTAGGTAAGGCAGAAGGTGTCTTCTATTCATGGTGTTCCTGTGCTACTCTATAGACCAAAATATCCCCAAGGACAGAGCCTGTTTCACTTAACTCAGCCATCTCAGCTAGCAAGCCCTGAACCATACTACTTCCTGTTACTGAGATGACATAGCAGAAACAAAGGGAAAACATGGTAATTAAAAAATATGAAATAAGATGGCAGAAATAAGTCAAATATATCAGGAACCATAATATGAAATGGTGTTAATTACAATTTTCAGTCTGGAGTTAAAACCAAATTGTATGTTGTTGACAAAAAAGATACCTACAATAAAATTACACCAGGAGGCTAAAATAAAGGGATGTAATAAGATTTTTCAGGTAATCCTAACAAAAAGAAACAAACGAAGCAATCTTTATATCAGACAAAATATAGAACCCTAAAAAAAAGCATTATAAGAGACAAAGATATTTTCTATACTAATAAAAGGGTAATATGCTAATTAGACTGGACATCTTCCAGATGACCTTCCGGACAAATCCATGGTGGTGGGGCCAAGGCAGAGGTGGTTAGGGGCGATCAGGTCAGTAGGGGAAAGCAGTTAGGTAGATCAGGCTGGCAGGGGAGAGCAGCTAGGGATCAGGCCAGCAGGGGAGGGCAGTTAGGGTGATCAGGCTGGCAGGGGGGAACAGTTAGGGCAATTAGGCCAGGAGGGTAGAGCAGTTAGGGTGATCAGGCCGGCAGGCAGGTGAGCGGTTAGGAGCCAGTGGTCCTGGATTGCGAGAGGGTGCAGTCGGACATCCCCCAAGGGGTCCCAGATTGGAGAGGGTGCAGGCAGGGCGGCGGGGACCCCCCCCCTGCATGAATTTCATGCACCGGGCCTCTAATATATTAATAAGGGGTATTGTGTAGGAGAGTAAAGAAAATGTGAACCACTAAAATGCATATCATTGTCAACACATAATGTCTTTGACATTTAGCTACCTTAAAGGACCCTATTTTTTTTCTTGTGTTGATACATACCCACCTCAGCTAGATTAAGTTTCCTTTGATAAATTGGGTTATATTAAAATTATAAAGTTCTATTCAGTAAAATACACTATGTAGGTGAAAAGGCAAGTCACAAAGTAGGAGGAGAAATCTGTATCATATGCATCCAGTAACTGGAACTCTCATACACTGCTGGTGGGAATTTAAATGCATACATTTAGAAAGCATAAAAATGTTAGAAGAAAACATAAGAAGTAAAATCCCAGACATCTCTCACATCAATATTTTAGCCAATATGTCTCTAAGGGCAAGGGAAACTCAGGAAAAGATATACAAATGGAACTACTACATCAAACTAAACAGCTTCTGCACAGCAAAAGAAACCATCAACAAAATGTAAAGGGAACCCACTATATGGGAGAACATATTTGCTAATGACATATCCAATAAGGGGTTAATTTCCAAAATATATAAAGAACTTATACAACTCAACTCCAGGAAAACAAACAATCCCATTTAAAAATGGGCAAAGGACCTGAATAGACACTTCTCCAAAGGGGACATATAGATGGCCAAGAGACATAAAAAAGTGCTCAAAGTCATAATCATCAGAGAGACACGAATTAAAATGACAATGTGGTATCACCTCACACCTATCAGAATGGCTACTATCGATAAAAAACAAAAAACAGGTGCTGGTAAGGATGTGGAGAAAAGAAAACCCTAGCACACTGTTGGTAGGAATGCAGACTGGTGTAGCCACTATGGAAAGCCATATGGATTTTCCTCAAAAAATTAAAAAATGGAACTGCCTTTTAAACCAGCAATCCCACTTCTGGGAATACATCCTAAGAATCCTAAAACACCAATCAGAAGGAATATATGCACTCCTATGCTCATAGCAGTATTATTTACAATAGTCAAGATCTGGAAATGGCCAAGTGCACATCAGCAGATGAACAGATTCAAAAATAACAACAAAAAAAACATGGTACATTTACACAATGGAATACTACTCTGCTTTAAAAGAGATGGAACTCTTACCCTTTGTGATAGCATGGATGGACCTGGAGAGTACTATGCTAAGCAAAATGAACCAGTCAGAGAAAGACAAATACTTATATGATCTCACTAATATGTATAATCTAATGAACAAAATAAAATGGAACCAGAGCATGGATACATGGAACATACTGGCAGGTGCCAGAGGTAGGGAGTGGGGGTGACTGGATAAATAAGTTGAAAAGATTAGCCAAAGAACATATATGTGTATCTCATGGACATGGACAATAGTGTGGTGAAGGCCAAGGGA